ACGGTGAGGAAAGTCAGTGCATAATTAGGTGAGTGGCCTCCCATGGAAACCAACATGTAATAAGGGCCGTCTGCTTCCATGCACTGCAATTCAGATGCCAAAACACAGGCATTAACAAGCTGCCTTCTATTTTTTAACTTCCCATACCCTCAGAGGAGGTGAAACTATTATCTTCAATAGGAAAATGATGATAAACCTACGTGACTGAGTACATATAAAGTCACAAATAACAAGCTAATTATAGTAATTGACTGTATTAAGCATGCGGTGTAGAGAAAAGAACACTGGACAAAGAGTCAAAAAGCTCTTTTTAATTCCAATGATCCTGATCCTTATTTTATATCAAATGTGGTAGCCGAAATGGATGACTATTAGGATGCTAATCCTAGAGTGGGCTTGGCTACAGCCCAATCAAATGAAGAGGTGTTTTCTTTTTAAATTATATCAACATTTAATGTTTAAATTATTACAACCATGGAAATTTTATTTACAGCTCAGCCATTAAGTTTAGTACGAATACTTTATTTTTCTCTGCATGATAATTTGTTTTTCTTGTGTTAATAATGATCTCGTTCTTTTGTTTGTTGTTTTGTTTTCCTTTGTTTTGTTTTCTTTGTAGTTATCACTAATCTAACAAACTCTTCTCCCATCTTGTAAATCTGCTCAAACACATTAGTTATTCCATCTAACAAGTTCTTCTTTGAAAACTCTCCTGGAGACTTCCGACCTGCTCCAGGTGGACTGGTGGGTTACTCTCCCAGCCTGATGTATAACTGTCATCACGGGATCCTTTTCATCGTTGTCCTGAGGATCTCCTTCATCTGTCGCCTGTCGTAGCCTCTGTTACCTGGTTTCTTTGTCTTCTCTGCCTTGGGTTATGCCCTGAGTTCTAGTACAGCACCTCCTCAATTAGCTTCCTGAGAAAGGATGCAAAATTTTCAACTCTTTGAACATCTGAAAATAATTATTTTACCTTCAGTCTTTATTGACAGTTTGCATAGAACACTAGATTGGAACTAATTTTACATCAGAATTTTCAAGCCACCGTCCCCACCACCATCTCCCTTGCAGTGCTGCTGTTGAAAAGTCTAACACCACTGTAATTCTTGATCATTTGTAGTAAGCCTGTTTCCTTTTTGTAGAATTTTTCTTTGAAACTAGTGTTCTGAAATTTTGCAATCGAAACATTATTGTCAGTCAAGTTTCATTAAATATTATGGGCATTTAGTGGGCCCTCTTAACCTTGAAATTCAAATCCTTTGCATCTTGAAAAAGTGCAGTTTAAAGATTATTACTTTATTGATTCCCTCCTCTTTATTTTCTCCAATTATTCAGATCTAATATCTTGTACTGGACTTCTAATTTTTTATATTTTCTTTCTCATTTTTCAAATTTGTATTTTATGTTCTGTTTTCTGGCAAACTTCTTCAACTTTATTTTCCATCCTTATTTCTTTCTGTTGTTTTAATTTCTGTCAACATATTTTTAATTTCCAAAGCTACTTTTATTCACTAGTTCTTGGTAAAAATAACATCATTCTTGTTTTATAGATGTACTATTCTTTTACCTCTTTGAGAATATAAATTATAATTTTTTTTGAAGTTTTCTTTCCTGTATGACTCTATCTAACCAATGTAAGAAACTTAGCTTCATCTAAGTTACTTATTTGTCAACTAGAGTCTACAATGTACAGGTGCCTGGATTCTTTAGATCTGTTCTCTTGGACTGATCAGATTCTCTACAAAAAATGTTTACAATTTTTTGCCTTGAAACATGGAACTGACATCTGTTTTTTTAAGCACCACAGATTGATACTATCCCTCATGCTCTCCCCTACCTGCTCCCACCTGCCCAGCCCCTGCCATACTCTTGGACACCCCTACCACAACCACCTCACTGGCAGAGTGAAGAGCAGTGGAGGCAGGTAGGCCATAAGGCTGTGAGAGAGCAACAGGCAAGGATGGCTAGCAAACATACATGTCCTCCAGGTAGGGGTGGGGAGGTGGATAAAGCCTTGCAGAGCCACAGGGACAGCGAGGAGAGGCTGTGTGTCCTGGGAGTCACCCTGGGCTCTCAGCCTTGGGTCCAAGAAAATGCACACCTTTTTCTACTTGAGTGATTTTTTAAAAAATTTGATTCTGATTCTGAGAGATGAGAAGACTATATATATATGTATGTATATATATGTAGTTTTGTTTTGTTTTTTAAAGTTTTGCAGGTGACTGCTATGGAGCCAAATTTGAAGCCCTCTTAGATGACTGCTGCAGTTTTTTTTTATACCCTTAAACATTCCAAGAACTGAGACAGTCCAGTAGATTTTGGCTGATCCTCAGGCAGCCAAGATTTCAATAGCTATGGGGAAAGGAATAGCCATATATCAACATATTTTGTGCCTTTCGGTGACTTGAAACAGCATAAAAAGAGGTAAATCACATCATGCTCTTTCAGAAGCAAAAAATGTCGTAGGGCATCAATCTGTAACCACTTTAAATAACTCCTGAGCGAGAACAAGAAACAATTCCTGCTCTAGATGACTAACATCTAGACTCGCTGTGGATGTCGCATCGAATTTCTGAGACATTTTTATGCTGATTGCACATCTCGTTCACCATTAGGAGGAACTAACTCTTGCAGGAGTAAATCTTATTTACTGCCACAGTACAATCTGGAATTGGAACAGGTAGCAAACACTAAGTATCTGAAGTATAATGAACAAATGCAGGGTAAAAGAAAAGCATATGAAACTTGAATAAGAGCTGATGAAATACAATTTCAAAGAATGCAGCCTGGTTACTGAAAAACAGCCACCCTGAGATCAATCTCTCCATGACCAATAGGAGATGAAGGAAAAATAAAAAGTAATGGAAAAAGCACGACTCACCAATACTTGACCATAAGGGGAGATGATGAGAAAACCAAGTGAGAATAATAAAATCCAGTGATGCCATGGTTCTTTGAAAGATTCATTCAGCTCTATAATCTCTATGCTGTCACTGAATTTGAAAGTCAGGAAGTCAAAGTTAGAGTAGCTGTTGATTTTCACTGAGGCTATTAGTTTCCTAGGCTCCCCAGAGACAAAGGTCTCACTAACTGGGCTCTCTACAAACTCCCAGGGTTAAACTGGGGAACAGGAGTAAGGATGTACTGTATTGTTGGTTTTGAAGCCAATCGACCCTAAGAAGAGGACTGTGATGTTTTAATGTAAAAAATGAAATAAAATAAAAAAATAAAAAGAATAAAATTATATTCATATTATGACATTAATGTTTAGAGTTGAACTTAAACATGGGAAGATTAATAAAACAAGTTTCTTCATCTGTTAAATTTTTTCCTGTCTTACTAAAAAGCTATGTCAATAGATACAGATTTTGAAGAAATATGAAGTCAAAAAATTTAAAACAGATATATCAATAGAACAAAAATAACAAAAAGAAGGTATATAAAAAATCAGCAAAGACTATAAGTACCATATGAATTCTATAATTTATTTTAAAAATAAGATTTTTCAGAATAGACACAAGTTTCTACATTTTAAAATTGTACAATATAACTGGCCATCATAAAAACCCCCATTATAATGTCATGTATTAGTAAGTACTTGAAACTTATTAAGAAAAAGTAAAACCCAATAGAAAAATGGATAATATATAAGAACAAACAACTTATAAAAGCAGATTTACAAATGGTCAAGAAACTTATGAAAAGATGTTAAATGTCACTAGCAGTTAAGAAAATACCAATATAAAAGACATTCTATTTTTACTCATCAGAATGGCAAAAATTAAAATGACTGGCTACAGTCAATGTTAGTGAGAGTAGAGAAAAACAGTCCTATAATTTACAACCTGTAGGCAAATGTTCTAGCCAAATTCATTAAAACTGAAATCACATCTCTTATTTAATAAAGAAAACCCAATCACTAGATATCCAAAAAAATAAAATGCTAATATTTACTTTAAAATCATTCATAACACTAACATTCTGAAAATAACCCAAAGACCTATGATTAAAAAACAGCTGAATATTTTTCATACTATGGACTAACATGCAGTTATTAGAAAGACAGGACTATACAGTCATGTATTGTTTTAAAGAATATGCATGGTATATTTTAAGTTAAAAATGACATACAATAATATGCATTATTTTTATAAAGCAAAAAATAAACCCACAAAATTCCATATCAGCATATAGACCTACACAGGCAAAGGATAAATTCAAAAGAAAAAACATGTCATGTTGCAAGGAGTAGTGTTGATAATGAATGGGAAGAAACTGAGACAAATAATTTTACTTCTCATACATCCATAGTACTCAATCGATTCTCAGGATCGTGAAATGTAGTCATGTGAATCACAAAATATGAAAGCACATCATTAAACACACAGATATAACTTTGATATCTTCTGACTCCCTAACAAATGCCAAAAAAGAGACTCCTGTTTTAAGCCTGAAATTTTGGGACAATTTCCCAAGATAGCTGTTAGGTCAAATCTTATAAAAACTTCTTTTGACATATAGTAATCCAATTTGTAGTAAATGAACTGTAAGAAAACAGTAGGAAATAGAACTATTTTTTATCTGTTTGTACATACAAATGAAAAGTATTCACTGTAAACTCACCATAACACTATTTGGGATTATAATATTTTATATTGAAACCAACTGATACTTCAGGATGGAGTTCCAAGACAGAGCTACCTGAGATTCTACTGAAAATAGAGCTATAATAGCATTCCAGATCTCATGCAAAACTGGCAGTGTTTCTTCATGGAAAAGTAAATAAATAAATAAGATCTAAACAATAATACTTTGGTGTAAATATTTAATGTTAAAACATGGTTTCCAACCACTAAAAAAACAATATATATAGTTTATTTCAATATTATTTCTCTTAACAGAAAAATTTTAAAAAAGAAAAAGTTATAGTAGAGACATTAGACTTTGCCTCAAAAAATGCACATGAAGGATGCTGTTGGCTTAAAAAGATCTTTTCCTACCTTCACATTGTCAGGATGTAGCCCCCCAGGGTGCTTGTCCATGTACTGACATAAATCAGTGTGCTAGAAGAAAAAAGAGAAAATGTATTAAATCCCTCTGGCTATCACATGATGAATCAACATTTTTCTACTTCAAAATCACTATTACCTTCTGAACAAAGCAAATATAAGACAAGTGGGCGAATTTTTTAGTTAATGCAGTTGCATGCTCCTCCAGCCCCCATTTTTAACCACAATTGAATCATTATCTTTACCACTTGGATGTGTTTTATGTTAAATATACCTGTGTATTAGAAGGAATCGATGTCTATTATTTGTTAAGTGCTTAATTTCCTCCTCATTGAACATATATATCTTTTAATTAAAAAAAAAAAACAAACCCTAAAAATAGATACCTTAACTTAAAAAAACTAAACTAACAGACACAATTAACCAATCCAATTACAATTTCAATTTCAGTTATCTTGTATTTTTCAAGTACAAATTCAGGTTATGATTATTTTGTATGAGATGAAAATACTACAAATAGATCATTATAGTAAAATTAATCATTGAACTTATTTAAATTTCTCTTAGGTGTATTCATTAAAAAACAATCTTCAGGTTTCCAGAACTCCTGAATATATTTGACAAAATACACTTTATAAATTAATAGAAATGCTTTCAAAATTATAAGACAAAAATATGTCCAGATATAATAAAAACAAAATCCCATGATTGTATAATGTATATTGCATATTTTCTTCTTAATGTTTTTTCTGTTTATATTATAAACTACATAGAATTTTGAAAAAACATATAAAGTTGTTACTCTAATTTTTCTTGTCTTATTGGAAGATAATATAAGACCCGTAACATTGAAACATACAATCATTCTGTAAAAGCCACTGAACATGAGTATTTATGTCTCATTATCAGGAATCAATTATTGAGGAATTATGAGTTTTACAACACATTCAAGAACCTCACTGTAGCCACGCTGACAACAGTTGAGATTCCTTTACTGAGTTTTTATTTCATGTCAGATGGTAATTGATGAGGATACAGAGCAGAATTTAGCATTCTTTATTAATCAGCATGCATTTCTTGAGCCTTTATATTATGTCCCAGTCACTACACTGGTCCCTAAAGACACAGACTTCAATGAAACAGTTACACATGGGAAAAAATAGACATACCAGCAATTACAGCACAGTATTTAGTATATTATATTAGAACGGTACTGGATAATGTTTGAAGGCATAGCAGGAAAAACATATTGTGGTTTGAAAATTTCAGAAAGGCCTCTGGAAGAAGTTACTTTTAAGAAAGCCATGAGTAGAGAATGAAAGGAGCTGGTCAATTGAAAGCCAAAGGGAAAGAAAAGGGGACAGAGTAAATGCTCTTAGATATATTTCGAGACAATACTGCCTTTATTTTGGACCATATGCAAGGTATTTCACTTTCAAATTAAAGTGAAACTCCATGAAAACAGAAACTATATGTTTGATTTGGAAGTTCCTGTCTCTCTGGTCAAGGGAAAATGTCAGACACAGAGAATAAATGAGTTAATACAGGTGAAAATAGTTTTTAATAGGTATAGCTCATTGAAAATGATCCTAAAATATAATTATAATGGGCTTCATGGAGATCCTCCTGAATGACTATATAAAAGTTTTATCTCATGCTTTTAACAAACTGAGGAATGGATTCTGTACTTCACACTGCCACTCTGTAACTCTATATTATTAATTGTTTTGTCCTTTTAAATAGGGCTAACACTTCCCTCTTAGAAAATTTTTGAAGAATAGTACATGAGAAATTACTTTTATTTATAACATGATATACAAAAATAAAGTATTATTTAAGCTACTGCCCATTACACAATAAAATCCACAAGAGAAAGAATTGTATCTAATTTGTTCATTGCTTCACCCACAATAAATACAGTAAATAGAAAGTACATACAATTGTATCAATTATTATATATCCATGACATGCTAAAATTTGTATTAAAAATATAAAAACTCAGTTTACAAAACAAAGAAAATCAAATGCATACTGTTTCCAAGGTACCAACTAGGAATAATAAACAACCAAAAATAACAGAAAACATAAAAAAATAAATATATTTTCTATTATATACCTATATTATTTATATTTTATGTTAGTGATACTAGTAAATATCAATAAAAAATCAGAATATCAACATAAATATCAGAAATAATAGAATTCAAGGAAAATGTATTAAAAATTAGTGCACTTAACAGCATGGCAAAAATTGACAAAAATATAAGAAACTAAAAACTTCACAAAATCTTAAAGGATTTAACTTACTTATTTCAAAAATCAACAAATGGAATTGCCTTCCCCACAAAAAAATAAGAAAAAGGAAGGTTATAAAGGATATGAATGCCACAATTAAATAGCATGTTTACTTTTTGTGCCCAATAAACTTGTGGTACACATGCTTTTTTAAACACAATGGCATACTCACAAAATTGAGAGTGTATTAGACACAGAGAAAGTTTCAAAAGTTTTCAAAAAGATATTCCATGAACATGAATTGAAAGAATCAACATAGTTAAAATGGCCATATTGCCCAAAGCAATATATAGATTTAATACAATCCCCACAGAAATCTCAACGGCATTTTTTAACAACATGGAACAGAAAATCATCAGATTTCTATAGAATCACAAAAGACCCTGAATTGCCAAAGCAATACTGAGACAAAAAGAACAGGGCTGCAGGTATCACAATGCCTGACTTCAAATTATACTACAAAGAAACAATAATCAAAACAGCATGATATTGGCAGAAAAACAGATACGCAGACCAATGGAACAGAATTGAAAGCCCAGAAATAAACCTCCATATATATGGGCAAATAATTTCGACAAAGGAGTCAAAAACATATAAGGGAGAAAAGAGAGCCTTTTCAATTAATGGTGCTAGGAAAATTAGAAAGCCACATGCAAAAGAATGAAACTAGACTGCTATCTGTCACCACACACCAAAATTAACTCAAAATGGAATGAAGACCTGAATATAAGACCTGAAACAATAAACTGCATAGAAGAAAACATAGGTACTAAAGTCATGGACCCTGGATTTAGAGAATTTTATGAATCTGACCTCAAAGGCAAGGGAAGTAAAAATAAAAATAAATCAGATTATATCAAACTAAAAAGCTTCTGCACAGCAAAAGAAATCATCAAAGAAACAAAGAGGCAACCAACTCATTTGGAGAAGATGTTTGCAAACACTTCCAATAAGGGGCTAACATCCAAAATACATAAAGAAATCATACAACTCAACGACGACAATAAAAACTATCTAATAAAAATTGGGCAGAGGATCTGAACAGACACTTCTCCCAAGAAAACATACAGATGGCCAACAGATATATGAAAAGATGCTCTGTTCAATGGCTACTAGGGAAATGCAAATGAAAACCACAATGAGATACCACCTCACACCTGACAGAATGACTGTCATCAGGACAAGTAATAACAAGTGTTGGAGAGGTTGTGGGGAAAAAGAAATCCTCATACATTGTTGGTGAGAATGTAAATTGGCACAGTTACTATGGAAAACAGTATGGAGGTTCCTCAAAAAACTAAGAATAGAATTACCATATTAGCAATCTCTCTTCTGGGTATCTACTCAAAAATTTGAAAACATTTATCCAGAAAAATATATGTACCCCTATATTCATAGCAGCATGATTCACAGTGCCCAGGACATGTAAACGACCAAAGTACTCTTTGATAGATGATTGGATAAAGAAGATGTGGTACATATACACAATGGAATACTAGTCAGCCATTAAGAAAAGTTGAAATACTGCCATTTGCGACAACATGGATGGATCACGAGAGTATCATGCTAAGCAAAATAAGTCAGATGAAAAAAGCTGAGAACTATATGATTTCACTTATATGTGGGATATAAAACTGAAAGTGACAAATGAACAAACAGAGATTCATGGACATGAACAAGTTTAGTGATTACAAAAAAGAAAAGAGGACTTAGGGGAGGTAGATAAGGGTAAAGGGGGTCAAATATATGGTGACGAAAGGAAATTTAACTTTGGGTAGTGAACACACAATGCAATATACATATGACATATTATTGAATTGTACACGTGAAATATATAATTTTATTAACCAATGTCACCTCAATAAATTTAATAAAAAAAGAAAGTAGAAGTCATATACGTTCTCTCTCCATCATGAAATAAAATTAACATCAAGGGATACTATATTTCATCATCTCTAAGACACAATTTTTTTATCTCTAAAATTGGAATAAGAGCATTTATTTGCTGTTAACCAGGCAGTAGTTGGAATATAGAAGTCATTGTCTATGTTTGAGCAAACTTGTTATTTTTCTCTAATTGTAGAGTTATTACTCTGATGACATGAGTCATCAACAAAGAACTTAAGGACCACTTGAGAAAGAAAGATGGAAAGATGAGATGTAATTGTTATCTAGAAACCATTTATTGAAAATTCCAGGTTAAGATATTATTATAACTGCCAGAATTAAAACCTGCAAAAATTCCAAATGATAAGAAAGCATTCAATCATAGTTTGAATATCATATTCTTTATTCTGTCTTCGTTATACATAGAGTAACGTTTCTTCCAGTCAATGGGGTTTTAAGTTCAACAGTAGTAGGAATAAAATAAGAAAGCAAGAAAAACAGTCGAAGGGAAGGAATGAGAAAAGGAGATGTGAAGAAAATTTATTTTCATGGAAATTTTACATCCTAAATACATTAATTTTAACATACAAATGACTGAAAATAAATAAAACAACCAATAAGTTCAACCTAGAGAATACCAAATAACAAAGAGAACCACAGAAAATATTATGGATTAATTTATTTAATAGCAGAAATTAATTAAATAGAAAAAACAGAAAACAGACTGATAAAACAAAAATCCACTTCTATGAAAAGCCCAATAAAACAGATCAACATTTGGCAAGTCTGATTTTTTTTTTAAGTAAGGGGTTTGCCAAGATGTAATCGATGTTAAGAATGAGAAAAATGGCACAAGTTAATATGTGGAAATT